TATAGTAAAATATGTTCATAATCACGAGATTTGCACAATGTTGCTATTTCAATGTAATTTGATATTCAAGAGGTAAAGCGAAAGCTGAAATATATAAATTGAAACCTTGCATGTATAAATATGCTTTTTGTATACTCTAGACTCGTACATACGTGTACAAAGCATTAGTTCAGGAATAGTGTCAGTGTTTGAAATATATAAAGTAAATTATTTTTATCTTTTTTTCTGAAATAATAAATAGACTATAGTCAGACTACATTATTGCGAAACACTGTCTGTGGGAAGTGCAATGTCACGATTTCAATGAAATTTGATATTCATAAATTCAAGCTGTATTCAAATTGAAACTTGTCACAGACACTGTTTGTCAAAGGTCTCTTCGACTGTTCTCCAAAAAGGCTCATTTGGTCGCTCAATTCAACGTCAATTTGCCATATCCTGGTAATATTAAACTAAAGTAAGTGCAGGATTTACTTTACACGTAAAAACCAAGAGGCAAGAGAGCTTATAAACTGACGTGGCAATTACCCTGTTATAGTTATATTATTGATGCAGAACTGCTGTTGAATAACGATGTAAGAAGTTCTGAATAAAAAAATGTCGTTTGTGTCATGAAAAAGGACTTCACTGTTGATTTCGTGGCTTGGTTTATAAGTGTACATTTACAATAACGCATTACGAGAAATGAAAGTAAAATTCTAAGAACTCTAATGACTGGTATAATTGTAATTAATGAACTGCTTTTGAATTGAAATGGCCTCGAAATTGGCCGTATACGACACTGGTTATGAAGATGAACTATTTCAATATCCCGTTGGTCCTAGTTTTCACTGTTGTATTTGCACCAATGTCATCAAAGATCCGGTTATGTGTCAGCAAAATGAACACATCTTTTGTAGAGCTTGTGTCACCAGACATCTTGTGAACTTTCAGACATGCCCGACATGCATGGAACCACTCACTGTCGAGACACTAAGCCAAGCACCTCGGGGTATAAGAAACTTGCTGGCCGAATTGAAAATTCGATGTGAATTCTTCGATCGTGGTTGTGGGAAGTTTATTGACCTGGGAGATCTTGAAAGGCATGTCACAGAATGTGGTTTCGCCCCAGCAGTCTGCTCTAACGAAGGATGTCAACTTGAGGTGAATAAACAAGATTTACTTCATCATGAAACTTCTGTGTGTGAACTACGCAGAGTTCAATGTCACAGTTGCAAGGACATTCGACAAGAGATGGATACAGTGAAAGTTAATCTGGCAGCAATGAATGAAAAGTTGGACAGAAATGAGAAACATTTCGAGAGAGTTGAAGAAAACCTGAAAAGAAACGAGGAAAACGTGAAAGCAGAGGTTAAGAATGCGGTGGCAAAAGTTGACCTGGTTCAAGAACAACTTAACAAACAGGAAGAAAGCAATTGTCAGCTAATAGCGGACAATGTAGAAATGAAGAAAAGTTTGAATGAAATTATGAAACAACTGGAAAGAATAACACAACAAACATCCCATGAAGAGCAGGCTGAAGAAACAAAGAAAGGAATCGCAGAAGCTGATGGATTGGACAGAGATCCGAAGGTTGTTATCGCTGGAGGCTGGAATGGCAAAAGATTAAACTCTGTAGAAGTGTTTAGTCTGTCAACTGAAATGTGGACACTGCTACAACCAATGGAGGTGCATCGTGAAGGAGTATCTTCAGTTGTTTACAACAATCAGTTATTTGTCATTGGAGGTTTTGTTAAGACCATGGAAAAATTATCACTGAATGATGTTCATGTTGACCAGTCCATACCTTGGGAAAACGTTCCTGCTGGGTTACCTGAAAAGTTGGCAGGACACTGCAGTGTAGTTTATAATGGACGGTTGATAGTGATTGGTGGTTATGTTGCTGATAAATGTGCATATTCTGATAGTATTACTGAGATTTCTCTTGTTCAACCTTATACCAGTAAACTGTTGACTACCATGCCACAGACAAGATGTTACCATGGTGTTGCAATCTTTGGTGATAAGATCTTGATTGTTGGAGGAAGAAAAATGTTGGAAAGTAGATCAGTTCTCAGAAGTGTTGTTATGTATGACATCGCTAAGAATGAATGTCAGGGGTTAGCACCCCTCCCTTACCCTGTGTGTGAAATGGCCACAGTCAAGTGGGATGATGACAATGTCATAATAATGGGTGGCGCTGACAGTAACGGTAAAATATTAAACAAAGTTTTAATGTACAACATCAAGACCCAGAAGAGTCGTATGTTACCAGACATGAAGTATAAGAGGAGTGGATGTGTGGCTGCAGTTGTCAGAGACACTGTGATTGTCATGGGAGGCCTAGATGAAAGAAGCAATTACTTAAACTCTGTAGAAAGTTTTAGATTTAATAGTTATATGTGGCAAGAATGTCCAGGTATGCTTGAAAGGAGGTGCAGGGCTACTGTGGTTGTATGTTAACTATATGTATCCTATATATTAACAATCTATATGTTTATTTGTAAAATCATATATATTCACAATACATATGCTACTTTAAAGGAAATTATTTAGATTTGATCATTTTGAAAAACTGCCAGATAAACACAAAGTAAGATGGCTAGTTTACAGCAATAGAAAGGTAGATGATATATAACTATATTAGATGGCGCAACTCTGACTCCATTTGGTTAAGGCGGGTCACACTACACAACGAGAACGATTTGGAACTTTTGCTGATATACAAACGTTAGATATTTTATATGTGACTACCGGTGTATGTATGTCGGGAGGTGAGCTTATATCAAAGGTTGGGCCTGTAGTCTACAAATTTAGGTCCGTGACATTGGCGCACAATTGGGAAAAAATAGATAGGTTTATTCAATTTTCGACCGTCGGGCAATCCCACGAGACTTTAGTTATACTTCAAAAACTCATTAATAATTCATGAAGCAATTATCCAATCTTGAGTAAGAAATTAGTCACGTACATACGTCTTTATACCAGCTAAAGAACACTTTAACAAAAGACCATTGTTATGCAAACTATATAAAGATTTTTATATAAA